TCACCTTACGCCATCCGGTGTTTCGTGCAGATACCCTACAGAGTGCCACTAGCTTTTTCTGGCCTTCGGCCCTTTCACCCCAGCAGTGCCTAGAGCGCAATACGTCACCGTGCCGTCAAGGAAACACTCATTCATGTTGAATGCCCCGAAAAAGGAGCAAGGTACATCGCCTCCATTCGACCGTCCTGCATTGCGGCTTCTTATAGAAGGGTCATGTGGAAGAGGCTACTGCTGAGGCGTGGACAGAACTCAGGCTGTACTCGTTCGGCAGGCATGAGCAAGAATACCTTGTATTGGTCGTGCATGGGGATGCATAGTACTCGACATCGCCCAAGGGACGACAGCGACTCGGCCCAAAATCCACACACCGAAAGACACTGCTACTCGACCTCAAACCGAACAGCTAGGCCATATAACAACCCTGACCCGGAGGGCTTGCCATTCGAGTTCACCTCTAGGCCCTTTTTGCGCCGGGGCTTCCTAGGTAAGACGATCAACACTGACACCGGCCACAGCTTAGAATTCGTGCCTGCGCGGCAATGTTAAGCACCCGGGGACATGGGGGTCAGGCTTCATCCCCTTGGCAGGTTGCTTCAAGCCGACCTGCTTTGAGCTGATTCGGGCCACTCCTGCTTGCACTGAAGCGACCGAACCAAATCTCTGGATCTGCCCTGCTTGGAACGAGTCGCATCTCATGCAGCGCGCTCAAAGCTGAAGCCCATGAGAGCCTCTTACTGCAGCTGTGGAAACGCTTATGCGGTGCCTCTATATGTTCAACTTACGATTGTTAGATCAAAGGCCCGACTGCACGCCCCATTTGAACAGCTGCATATACTGCAGCTATCTCGGGCTCAGAGTCTAGCCAGGCTTCCGCTAGACTGAAATCTGCTGCCGAAGATAACGGAGGTTACCTTCAATCTGTCTGCAGACTCAAACGGGCCTCTTGGCCGAGGCAGCAATGCCGGAACCTTGAGGCAATTCAGGACGAACATTCACATCCAAGCCCCCTCAGCAAAGTGGAGGAGGCAACCCGCTCTCACACAGATGTGCAATGACTACCCACAGACCATGGCCCAGGTACCAATGCACCAATGCACCAACACCCAACTCCGAGTTGCAGACTTAAGTGGTAGGTGTTCGCCTGGCCAAGCCAAGCTCTGATTTTTCAGAGGGTTTTTTCATTGGTTTATGTGTGTCCTGGTGAAAGAGGTCCTTCGGACGAACCCCAAACTTGCACCCCGACAGCATACCCCCGGCCCGGGCCTCGAGACCCGCTTCCCGCAAGCAAGTGATCCTTGTGTGTGCTGGGCTCAAGAGGGCTTATGGAGCTTGAGGCTGTGGGGCTTCAGGAACTTTAGGGGGTGCTCATGGCAATTGGCACAAGCTGGGGCGCTGCAGGGTGCCCGCTTCAAGAAAGAAGCCCAACAGCGTGCCCTCTCATCGCGTGTGCTGGCCGAGCAGCACGTGAGCCACGGAGGAATCCCAACCTGCAAGCATCATGGTTCGGTGTGGCGGTGTGGCTTCTTGCTTGCTGCTTCTGAAAATTTCTAGGCACGGTTGGAAGACCACGGTAGCCTCACTTTCACCCTTCACTACAGAAACCGGAGAAACGCTTGACCGGCCCAGCCCCTGACTCATGCACCATCAGAGAAAAAAAACCGACATGTAGCTCCCGCAATAAGTTTGGCCCCTGAACCCTTGGGCCACTGGGAACCGTGAGCCTCGCTTGGCCAGTGCCGTCAAGACTTCCGTGACTGACCTGAAAAGCTTCGAACACTTTAGCGACTTTAGCGTAGTGGACCGAGGTGAGCAGGGCATGAGGGAGTAGGGATACGTGCCCAGAATCCAGGTCGGGCTGCCTATAGATTCAGAAGAAGTTAGTTGCACACTTGAGACGTTTCCAAGTGCTGGGTTTAAGGTAACGGGGCACATGTACAGGCCGAACCGATGTGGATTTAAGGTCGACGAACTATTTGGGGGTTTTTGGTTTGACAGTATTTCTTCGAACTACGCTATTTAGTAAGACAACCGATGAATGAAAAGTCGATACACGATTCTTGCGTGCAAGAATGCTCTAACATAAAATAGCCCATAAAGCAATAGAACTGTCATAAAGCACCTGGCAAGTTGAACTCTGTGCAAATGACACTTTTTTCTCGGACTTGCTGTGAATTTGTTTACAGTTTTTGTTTCTCTATCTATTCGCTTTTTCTCGGTCTCCGTCTCTCTCGCTGCCATGCCTTCTGCACTGGATCTCACACAGCAAGGGGATTGATGCTTACTCGATCCGGTATGAAACCAGCCATATGTATATGTACTGAATGATTATGTTGCACAACTTAGTTGTCCAGTACCCTTGGGGAACTAAAGGTTCACCTTTGGGATTATAAGGGGATTCTAGTACCCCCAAAAAGTTACAGGTTAAATGCCCTACAACTAAGACAACTATAATGTTTTAGGCTGAAGTGCTGGGGAGCCTATAAACATGGACTAGTCCGAGACAGATACTCAACACCTTCTTACCAATTGTGAGTTGAGCGTCTTTGGCTGCTCACACAGGGCAGGGGCAAACTTCTGGACCTGCTGCTCCACTTCCTGCACATGGCATTCGACTTCAGCTTGGACCCTTCTGGCGGTGCCGAGGCGAGGCAGCATTCACTGTTCCGCATTCGGAAAGGGAAATTCTTTTGCGGCGTGCTACTGCAGGATCTGAATCGGCAAAAAGGGAAGTCGAGCGCGTGATGCATGGACTCATAGATTCCCCGCTGCAGTAGCTCACGACGCATGACAGTAATGGCCACAGTTAACTTAAACTTGTCTGGCCTGGAGCGAGGCCTTCTCCCCCAAAGAGAGGAGTCGAGAGCACAGCTCCACATGCGCATAGTACCTTGTGCCGTGCGGATACAAAAATCATCGAACCAATGCTTGGTCTGCACTTGCTTTCTTAAATGGCTTGAAGACAGTATGACACGTGCAGTGCAGTCTAGTAACGTCTATAGTCTGAAGGAACCCTGACGCACTTTAGAGGGAACATGTGTGCGGCAGACCGGAACTACATGCATAAACATGCGCGTGCTGCTCGTATGGAGGAATCGATGTACACTCGCAGCTGCTGTTGCAACGTCATGGCGCTCGCGTGTTGCTCACAATGCCTTGCTACTGCCCACCGCCAGCTCGCCGCACAGCTTGCGCAGAACTCGGCTTTCCGCCCGCGGGCATGCGCTGATGGACGTCGCCATGGCCAAGCTGATGGAACTGCCAGTTCTTCCTACTATATGTATACCGGCTGCATGTCTATACTGCACGAAATCATGAGCATGATTTGAAAAAGCTGTGTTGCTCCTGCTATAGGACTCAGGCTGCTACAAAGGTAGGGCGCAGGTGGCGCAGGAGGACGCGACTGTACACGCCCTCCTGCACTTGTTGAGAATCGTTGGAGGGCTGCACTTCTCGTCACGGCATCAGACACTCTTTGGTGCAACAGAATATGCCCAATTGCATACCCGATTTTGAGCAGCCTTGACCGACTATGTCGAGGCACCGGGCTGGAGCATTTGCGTCGTCGTTAGCCTACCAGGTACTGTACAGATCATTGGGGAAAGGTCCGCAGCAAGCATGGACAGTCCCGCGGCAGCGTTGGCCAGCAGGCTTTCTTTGCGTATCCCTCTTTTTGAAGGCCTGTGGCCTGCAGCTTAGGTTTGCAGTTCAAGGCTCCAGGTATCAAGCCCTTCCCAACACATGACAAACTATCCAGCCCACTCTTTCACAGAAGGGTCTCCCTCACCCGTAACTCATGCTGTTCATCCCCTAAACCCTAAACCCTAAACTCTCCTATTAGTGGAACCCAAGTTCAGCTCAGCTCGCCATAAACCTTCAAGAACTAACGGCAGAAGCCAGTTGAAGGGAAAGAAGAATAGCATTGGCATCTCTGGGGACAGAAACGTGTCACGTGACCATTCAAGCATGTGCCCCAGCACCTCCAACCAAGATCCCTCAAACATGGAGGTATTAACACAATGTTCCTGGAAGTCCCGTCGTGATAGTGATACCTCTTGTATGGATCACCGAAAACCCTATACCTTTCGTGAGGCTTACCAACAACCTTCAAGCAAGCTCCTAAAGCCTCAGAAGTCAGCAGGTCACAGGCTCGGTGACTAAATGCTCAGCAGCCACTTTGAAGCAGGCGTCCCTGCAGCGACACCGGTTGCTGCATTCGTCGTGATTAACAATCCCTAAACCCCAAACCCCAAACCGGTGCACGTTCCACATGCCCAACCTACTGACATGGTGGCCACCACCCCTCTTACAGCGTCTTCTGCCCTAAAGCCCTTGCTGAGAAGGAAATGCACAGGGAGCCATGCACATGACGGTGTGTTACGCGCTCCTGGTTTTGCGAGATATTTTTAATCACCTCCTTCTCCTTCTGCATGAAAAGAACCTAGCCTAGACGATGTAGCTTTCGGAACAGGGAGTTGTAATAAAGCTTCTGTCCACGCTGTCGCGCGTGGAAGGTGGTGCAGAGTTGTTTCTCCACTGCTGCTTCGCGCAACGGTCCTTCTACTGCCTGGTCAACTTTGCTGCTCTCGGTTGGTGACCGCACTGCCATAGAATCAGCTCCTTAATTTGCCTGAGGTGAAGCAACCAACCACGGCAAATCAGAAAAAAACATACAAGCATCCGGGAAGAGCTCTGCACCCAGAACAGGCAGGGTCATTTGCGGTGGCGCACGGCAGTTGCAGGCGTAAGTGTGGAAGAAGGCAAGGAATCCAGGAAGAGTTGGGCAACAGATGTGAACAAAATCAAGTAAAAGGGCCGGATTGCTCTCCGCCATCCAGTCAGTGGACTCTGACTCTGCCCATTTAATCTAATCATCACCGTTAGTCACAGGTTGCTTCAAATGGGGTTCATGTTGTTGCTTTGCTCTCGTTGATGTAATCAGTATGGCACTATATGGTTTTTCAAGCTGTGCTTTCGTTTGTGCTCGAAGATTGTCATGGCATTCATGACTCGAAGTCATCGGGATCCACCTCAGCGAAGCCACAGGCCTTGCCGTCACTGCCATAATAGAGCCCTCTCGCACATGAATCCTCAAGAACCAGCTTGCAGGGAACCACTGCGCCTTGCTCGACTGGCTGCATGCCCAATGCTGCCGGTGTCTTCCCGCTCTTTTCAGCATAGGGGCGCGAGAGGTCTGTCTCAATAAAGCCTGGGTTGCAGCAGCTGATAATGAGGCTAGGATACTGCATCTGTAGCCATGCCGTATAGCAGTTCACGAGCGCCTTTGAGAATCCATAGCCATCCAAGCCCCATGAAACTCCGGTGGCCTCGGCTACAATCGTGTCGTCTGCATCCGCCGGCAAGGTTTGCAAGATGGCGTCCACCTCACCTGCAAGAGTATGAATCTGCTCCCAGGTCAGGTCAGATCTGCTCAGAAGCTCCTTGCGATCAGCGCGGCACTTCGCCACGCATGTTGGGGCCCCTCCGGATGAGATGTTCACAATTCGTCCTCCGGTGGGACTCACCAACCCAACCAAGGCATCGTTGACTCTCTTGGTGCCATAGAGATGGAGGTTCAGCATGTCGGAAAATTTCATGAACGACCCCGCATTGTTTACGATTCCGTAAAGCTCAACGCTAGCAGCCTGCAGCTTGCGCTGCGCAGCTGCGACGGAAGAGTCGCTTGTTGGATCAATCAGAAGAAGGTCCACTCGGTCCTGCCAGTCGGGGTGCATTTCGATCAAACTCTTGACTGCGCTTTGCCCGCGGCCTTCGTCACGCGCTCCAAGGTACACGAAGGTGTTGCTAGCATCTGTGAGCAACTTCTTGACAATTTCAAGGCCAATGCCCTTGTTTGCTCCAGTGACCAGAATCCGACGGCTGGATGCCGAAGACATGACTGCTTTGCTGGTGTCAGCTGGCTGGGGATGTGCTCAGATTATGGGCACCTCCTTGACAGGACCAACGCTGCTGACCACTGGGGGGGTGGGGGGGTGGGGCAAGCAAGTCAAACCAAAAGCAGCGCTGTTCAGAAGATCACACAAACTCATGGTCATCAAAGGAAACCAACCTGGCAACCGAAAACTTGACTTTAAGAGGAAGTGATAACTCAGAAAACTACAACAGGAACATTAAACCGCGGCTGTGTACCACGAGCAGCGCCTCGACAGCCCTGCGCCACGGAAGGCCGAGGTCGCGGCCTTGGGCGAAGTCGCCTCTGGCAGCAGGGAGATGCAGGGAGTTCAGACAGCATGGGCATGGACCATCCGATAGAAGGCATCAGCCTCATCTCACTTACAATGGCCAATCAGGCTCAGGGCGACTTGACTGCGCGTTGAGTCTGGCGAAGCAAGTGTGTCTTACTGAAAGGCCGAGCCTGGACAATTCCCAGCGCCACGGCAGCATGAAATCGCACATCGTCATCAGCGTCACACGCAGCCGCCTCCTGCAACACCTGCATAAGGGACAACCATCAACACTTCAGGCTACCAGACACAATCTCAAAGCAACTTGGGCAAAAAGTCATCCTCTTTCCCGGCCTCCTCCTGGTCCGCAGCCATCCTCCCCAAGTTGCCCAGGGCGATGGCTGCTGCTCGGCGTACTCCAGCATCGGAGTCCTTCCTGCGGGGCAAGATCCCATCGAATTTCGTCGTGTTCCCACATGGCGGTTGGCAGACCCGAAACCCTAAACCATTGACAATGGCCGCCCAGCCACAGAAGCGCGGCCAGCGCCCCAATGTGAGGCGCTCCACCCAGGCCCAGGGAACCCAAAGCCAGCGCAGCAGCTTGGCGGACCTACGGTGGCTGGAAGCCCCTCGCCACAAGGAAACAAGGGAAAAACTAAGGATTATTATAATGTATTGATTCAAACATATTGCTCAGAATAAGGAGATAACTAAACTCAAATACCAATATAAATATGATGCAAACTGAAGTAGTGCGGCCCCAGCAGCTCTTGCACTGTCATGGCGCAGTCCAGCCACCACCGTCAGCACATGCTCAGGGCTTGGATCCTGGTGAGTTTAGGGTTTAGGTTTTTTTCTCTCCTGCGCAGCTGGGGCGAATGCGCATCGCAAGGCGATGCGGTTTAGTGTTTAGGGTTTAGGGCTTAGGGTTCAAGCGCAACGGCTTCGGTGTGCTGGCTTGTGGCGTTCGGGCTTGAGGCTCCGAAGAGTCACCCATTTTGCGGCTTTGGGTGCCGATGCTCATTTCGGCCAAACCCCTTCTTCACAAGGTTTTGCTTTTTTTGCAACTCTAACATCCTAAACCCTGAACACCATGATCGCTGGAGAGTCATTCAGTGTATATAGATACCATCATGCCAAGCGGCCTGATGGCTGCTCTCCCGATTGCCGGAATCGCGGGGCAACTCCTGGCAGGATTCCTAGCCTACTAGCTCAAGTCCTTTTGTGCTAGCTGGTGGCCTTCTTAAGCGCTTAGGGCCAACAGTTGCACTTCTTCTCGGTCATTGTCGGCGACCTAAAAAGACAGAAAGAATTGGGTCCGTGCACAGACCATAGAGGTGAATGCTCGCATTCTACCTTGAGGTCAAGCAAAGGGAAAGAAGCGAGGGAAGAACCGATGGGCTCAAGCTTCATTCGGCTGGGAACAAGTTAGCCGGAGCCACTTTCCACTTATTCACCGCAACCCGGCTCCAGAACATGTGAGGGCCACCCCCTGCCCTGCACGAGCCACCTCCAACACCCGACAACGAATGCCCATCCTACATACAGGAGCTTCTCTAGGATGTGATCCCTTTGGGGGCTTACTTACCGTAAACGAAAAAAGCGGAGCCTCATATTTTGGGTACGCCCTCTCCGCCCTCCCCCTCTCCCTGCCCCGCAAAAAAATCAGCGGGAGAACTGCCCCCCCTCAGACTCTCCATGACCCCCGACCTTGGAGTGCCACATCAAACTCGAATCCCTAGCCTGTAAATTGCCAGGAATACGGCATGTAGCAAGCAAAAGGTTAGATGTCGTGAGATACATTGAGACTCACTTCGCAACGTGAACCTGAGTTCATACTTTCTTCGTCGTTGCTCTATTGTGCGTGTGGCGCGTGGGTCCCAGGACGTCTAGAATGGGTGTTCTGATGGAGCTTCTGGTGGGTCTGTAGCTGGGTGCAGGTGATAGGCTGGGAGTGGGGAATGATGCTGCGATGTTTTCTTGCGGCCGGTGTCGGGGTTGAGTTTGTGAGGTTATGGTGGTTTTGTCTGGTTGGGAAGAAGGTTTGTAGGGGTGCTTCTCAGGGCTTGCTAGAAGCAGAGGGACACGGCCTGGCTAACTGGCTACCGGAACCGTGTGTATATATATATATATATATGTATATGTATACACATGCTTATGTATATCATGTAACTATCACATATACATACAGAAGGACATATATATATATATATATGTGAATAAACAAATACATATGGCCATACGTACTATCATGCAGAGTGGGCCTGGCCACAGGCCGTTGCATTGGACTCATCCGGCACCGGCCGCTTCTCTGGGGCGTAGGCGAAGCGCGTCTGTAGCTCCTATCTACTTAGTTGTCCAGCAACCTGGGGGAACTAAAGGTTAACCTTTAGCAGTTTAGGATTATAACGGGGTTATATTGCCCCAAAAGGTTAAAGGTTACATACTCTACTACTGGGTCTATATTGTCATTCACGGGGATGGACTACGTACATGCCAGGGGTCGGCTGGGCTTTAACTGCAAGCTTGTGCATATTCCATGTGCGCAACGTAAGCCTCCCGACCATCAGTCGGATGGTCCATGCTCCTGCCGCTGCTTTGGGCTAGAGCGGCCAGGTGGCCTGGTCTTCGGTCGAAAAAGCAGGAGCCCAAAGGAAGCTTGGTACAGTGCATATGCATCACAGCTTGCACTGCAGGCTTAAGAGAAAGAGCATGTTTGTGTCACGACAGTCATATGGTATCCTTGGATTCATATAGGGCTAAATGTCCAGAACCTTCCAGAACCCTTTGGTGGCACGGACTCCCACCTCATCTTCTCTTGAAGGATGGACTGCCTGACTGCAGGTGTCTGCATGTGCCAGGTCTGAGTCAGTCTGCGGAAGTCCTGGAAGGCTTTATGGAGGCCTCCTGCGTTTAGGAATTGGGAAGCCAGAGAGGGCCACAAGCTCATGCAATCAGGTGAGAAGGGCTGCGATGAGAGGTACAGGGTCCAATACGCAAGACTGTGGATGCTTGTGCTGGGATTGTTTTGGCTGCCGCATGCGGGGCTACCCCGAACCAAGTCTAGCCTAGCACCCAAGCATTCAGCACCTTTCTAAACCAGCCTTCCGTTTGAAATCCCTCTGCCTGGGGGGAGATGAGCCCCTTGGATTCGGTCCGCCCATGGAAGGCAAAGTCCTGACTTGTGGCGGGCGGGTGGGGGGGGGGCGGGGGGCGGTGCTTCTGAGAGAATGTATAAGGCTTAGTTTAAAAAGCTAGGGGGTGAGCACCGAGAAGGTTGAGAGGCTGGTCAGGGTTCGAACCTCTGTCGACGCGACGCAGGTGGCATACTCTTGAACAAGTTCTTTCACAGAAACTTCGTTGTCCAGTATCCTAGGGGAACTAAAGGTTAAGCTTTGGGATTATATAGGGATTATAAAACCCCAAAAAGGTTGCAAGGTTACCTACTCTGCTAGCAGGAAAACACTGGCAACCCTCGGAGCCAAGAAGCAAACTCGGTGCGTTGCTGGCGCTTCGGGCACCTGGCTTCTGGCTCGCCAGCAGGGATGCGCGAGGCGAAGGCAACTGCCCCTGACCTTAGAAGGTCTGCCTAAAGGGGGAGGCATGGTGGGCAGCTTTTCGGAAGCAGAAGCCAGAAACGGGCACTCTGTCAAGCTTGCCTGGGCTCCCACCGACACTCGCGAAGTCAAACCCTTCGGAATCCAAAGGCTGCAGCCGTGACTTGTCGATCTTACGACATTTACGATCCGAAGACAAGGGCAGCAAAGGAGGTGGCCAAAAGGAAAGCCCAAACTGAGATCTAGCAGTGCCAACTTGGCAACTTCCCTCAGCTTCTGCACCTTCCGGATCGGATGGTATCGTTCGGGTTGTGGCCGCCCATGGCGCGGAATTGTGCCTGAAAAGGGCATTTTCGAGGTCAGATCCCATGAGCCGGAACCTACTGCACTAATGTCACTGCGTTTATTGTGCAGGCTCTACTCTGTGTTACAGAAAGAGTTCCCGTATTGAAGGGGCGTGGCTCTTCCATCAAACAGCTCGTCCCACCTGGCTGTCCACTCCGTTTTCGCCATGAGGCGATTCAGATAGCCCCTTGAAAGCTTTCCTGCGCGCAGGGCACCAGCGTAACTGCAATTGGCACAGGATCGTTGGAGGCCCTGCGACCCCCTCCCAAGGCAGAGACCCACATGCAATCATCGCCATTCAGATGTGACGGAGGTATAGTGCTTCGAAGCAAGTACTCTTTGTGCTTCCAAATTCCAAAAATACTTGGTTCAACTTCTTGCTTCTGACCAGAGTGTGCTGTGCGCGCGGACATGCCCCTGCCTGCCTGCGCACGTGTATTTGCATTCGTTTGTGTGCCTTTGCCTGTTTTCGTGTGCGCGTTCTTCATTTGTGTTCTTCGTGCTTTCGTGTTCCCGTTCGCCTGACGGTGTGTATTTGATAGTCCTGGCAGCAACCTGGAGGTAGAAAAGGTGAAGAGACGACGAAGGAATTCCAAGGCCAAAGTGAAGGCTCTGTGTGCTGTGTCGACTTGGTGCCAAGCCCATGCAAACTAATCTACTTGCGAGGCGCGGTCGGCAAACTTCAGAGTACTTTCCTTGGATGAAAGAGAGCAGCACTGCGAACCCTGGCCCTACACCCCCAAGTCCCAAAGAGAGTGTTGAAGGCTCTGCGCCTGCCAGCATGACAGAACCTCAGCTTCAACCACTCCTTTTTTCACCTCCGTGCAGGTATATCGGACTCCAAAGCTCTATAATTATGAATAAAGGAAATGCCTCCCCTGTCATGCCCAGCACCATCTCCTCTCCAGCGCATCGAGCTCGATGAAGACGGAGGGGCTAAAAGGCATGAACATGATGAGTCACTTCATCGGAAAATCCACAGCGTTAAAAACAACAGCGTGTAAGATCTCGTGAAATCCCTCAATGTAGATGACCAGAAACTGCTGGATTCAGCAACCACAGAGATGTCAGCAATAGCAGGGCACGAGCTCACAGTGTTACAAGGCATTCTTGTGCATCAAACACTTGGGCTGGGCGCTGGCCTGCCAAAAAACAACTCAGAGTACAGTCCACGCCGCCAATGGATGTGAGATGCTTGTGTCACAGGCACTCCTCCCGGTGCCATGCTTCAAGATCTTCCCTGAGCTGCGAGCCCGAGAACGGAAGACTTGCATGGCGAGACCCCACTTCTACCGCCTGGAAGCCTTGCAAACTTCGATAGGTCCAAAGGTGCTAAGTAGTCAAGATACCAGCTGCTTGCCTCGAGAGCATCCTTCCTTGGCTCTTCTTACAGCCCCGCGCCCTCGGTAATCTTTACCCGCACAATCCCTGCCCTTACGCAAGCCTCAAGCTCTGTAGGCCGCCCAGGCTTACTATCACTAACAGCCAACAGCTTCTCAAAAGTCTGGCCCAACTTCCCCAGGCTGTTCAGAATCTTCTCATGGTTGCAGAGCTCTGTCAGGCAGATCTCCATGTTTCTCCCCGATCGATCCGGCAACGAGTCTCGCCTCTTCCACTTCTTCGGAGGCACCTTCTTTTTCAGCTTTCTTTGACGCTCTTGCAGCTTCCTGGCAGAAGTTTCAGCTGAGCTTTGGCAAGAAGAGAGTTTGGGCGCCACGAATCAGAACATGCTCCCAAAATGCAAACTGGGACGCTTGCAGCCGGACTGTGAGATGTACAGCCCGTGCTGGGGCATGGCTCTCCCATCATGCTCCAACTCCTGTGCAACTCCTTAGGTCTGAATCGGGCTTCGAGAAACACAACTGACACTTGGCATAAACCTATACGGGTGCATTCATGGTGATTGATTTCGCTGGTATAAAATTATTGGACATGCCAAGATTCCGCTCAAATGGTTGGCACCAAGTACAGCCACAATGTTTTTGTGACCGAGCATAGCGGCGCGGTAAATGTTGCGTGCCAAATTTGGGTCCCGGCGGTCTAGCAGAAAGTCTCCCAAGATTTCGATATCATGCTCCACCACGGATGCTTTCATGTCTGCTAACACCAGTAGTCCACGTGATGCTTTAGACACTGTGCTCTTCATGAAGGCACGGAACGCGCTTCGAGTTTCGTCCCCATTCCTCGCAAGATGTCTTCGCACAACCTCCGGCTCGTCCGGGTCCATCCAGTTCTTGGCTTGGGTGCCTCGATGGCCATTGCCCCGGATGAGTGTTCCCAGCCGCTCGCTGCAAAGCTCTAAGATCAAGGCACTGGGCTGGACATCGGCCACGATGCGTTCAGCAAAACGGGCTGCCGTCTGGCTAATGTGATTTGTCCCAACCAATGTGACCTTGGTGGTGTCGTTGGCTACTGTCACTGTCAGGTTGCGAAGCACCTCTCTTTCCTCAAGATCACGCGCAAGCATGTCCTCATAAAGCGAATCCTCGATGAAGGTGTTGATGTCCTTCACAAGATCTTCGGCCTTGTCCTTACCCAAGGTCTGCTTGACCCACTCCCCAGAAATAGGATGAGTCAGGGATAGATGGATCAAGGGCTTCCTAGACTCTCCCCCACTTTGCTGCTACCTACTGCCAGCCTCGTCAAAGTCCGAACCAAAGCCGCCAAAGCCCTGCGCTCTTCGCACTATGCGGGAGCTCGGCCCGGCCCAGAGCTGGAGGCAGGGGCCAAAGGCGCCGAATGCGCCGAAGGCACAGGCCAGCAGGCAGGCAGGGCGGCCCATGGCTTGCATGGAAGAGAGGGGAGCGAATGGCAGTGGCAGAGTAATGATCCTGGGCGGCCAGGGCGGGGGAAGGTGATCTTGAGGCTATGGTCTTTTGCGAACTAGCGAAGCTTCACCTTCGCCCTGAGCTTCCCTAATCAGAGCTCCAGGCACCTCCGGCGGGACTCGGGTCACGTTGCGCGCGCCATCGCCGCGCTCCCTGACACGTCCATGAGCTGTGGACGGGCATTTTGCATGCACAGGCACTCCTTGAACGGTCAACATCGCAACGTCCCAATGCAGCCTCTTCGGAGATGCGAGGGCTTGCTGGCTCGCTGCCATGCCATCGCAGGGTCTTTGGCCTGGGACATCCACGTTTCAGAGCAAGCCTTTGTTTCAAGCTTATATTTTGATCTAACAAGATGCGAAAATACATCAGAATGCATCCTTCGCAAAAACTTTCCCGGAACTTTAGCGCTCCTAATCGCGCTCACCTATGAGCCCTAAAGCTGACACTCCTGGAGTGTTTTGTGTCCAGGGACGTGCGTACTCAGTTTAGGTTTGAGCGTTGAGGAAGGGTGAGGCTATAAGCGGCTATAAGATTCAGTCCAGGGCTGTGGCTTCAGGGAGGTGAGTTTCGGCGTTCTCGTGCTGCATCTTGCTTCCAGAAAGCATACGGGATTCTTGAACTGGGCCCGATCTTTATCTATCAAAACTTTCGCCAAAAAACTCCTTTCGCACGCGTGTTCACCGATCTTCCGCGGACGCTCACAGGCCACAGACATGCAGATTCTTTACGAGGACCCTGAGAACAACACCCACAAACAAGTGACACAGCAAGAAACCGACTAAAGCCCCTCTGCTTTGCTAGCCACACGCAAAGACACATCTGCCGTGCGTCCAGGTCTCATGGAAGCATGCCTTCTCGAGAAACCTGCACTCTTACGTTGAGAAGGGGCATCCAGGCGTCCAAAACACTACAAGAACACCGTAGTAAGTACTGCCATCCTATATCTGGCGCAAAACTAACCTGCACTCTTACATTGAGAAGGGGCATCCAGGCGTCCAAAACACTACAAGAACACCGTAGCAAGTACTGCCATCCTATATCTGGCGCAAAACCCAAAGCAGTCCACCTTCAAGAAAGACCATTACAATCACTAGGTTGGCCCTGTCTGGAATTCTGAAAGATGTGTCCCAGCAAGTCCCTCTAAAACTTTGAAACTTAAAAGGGCATAGACAATATCGGAACTTATACGTAGATCATCACAAGCAGCGCGCCGGAAGCATGAGTTGGCAATAAAGGATGGTCTGTGAGAGAGCTCGAGCCTTCCCGTTGCGTGGAGGCTGCCGATCCGCGCCGGGATACGTCTGCAGTGATTCAGCACTTCAGCAATCATCAGCTTTCTGTGAGGAGGTATGTATGGGAGCAATGTCTTTACCAGTGCTTGCCGGGAAACATAACACTGCATGGCCCATCCATGTCCGGTGTGGTCAAAATCGAAGCAAACGACTCCCTTTGGTGTGTCCCAGCGAAAAGCTGGGTAAGGGGTGAAGAATGCGGCAGATTGAAAGAGCCACCCCCCCCCCCCCCCCGCCCTAGAGGTGCAAAACTGGGATGAAAAAGACGCTTTTCATGTTTGGAGCCTCTCACTACGGACTCGATGCTCTGAGAGGCAGAGCGTCTCGTATTTTCTTGTTCGATGCCTCACCATAACTGGGGTAGGTTTGGGGGCCCCAGATTTTATGGACTTATACGGATTCTATAGGGATTCAGGGAATCAAAACATCCCTATTCCAACCTACCCCTGATAAGACCGCAAGACCTCGTAAACAGTCCATGGAAGACCTGGCGCTGCTCGGGGCGAAATGCGCATCGTGTTCCTGGCAGCTGGCATCCAGAAGTGAAGGCGGGAAGCATAGCGTAAAGCGGAAAGCATCTTTGGGACAACCTGCAGGACAAGAAGACGTCTCACTTCCAGATGATAACTTCAACCTCTGGCTCGCCAGTCCAGCCGCATAAGTTATGAGTCATGAGTATCCACCAGCAAGACGCGCCCGCGGTGCCGATGCGGGCTGCTGCCTGCCTTTTCTGCGCAGCATCTGATCTTGTCAGTGAAACATAGTTGTCGCTGCTCATCCTCGCTGCCACGTTCTTCGCATACGACGGCGAGAGGCGCAACAACATGCAACAAGATTTCGAGAAGCCGCCGCACCGATGTAAGTAAGGATACCAATACGCCTACTTGTGCTCGTGTGCTGGTCTTGATCCTGCAACTTCTTAAAGCAAGCCGGCGCCAGAGCCCAGGTGGACTTCCGCCCACATCTTGTGACTTTGCTCGGCGTACCTCGCAGCAGGAGCCGGCTCCAGGAACTCGAACAGGAACTTTGAGCCCTTCTGGGCGCCCGACGTGGGTGATGTGGGGGCCTCCTCGGAACCCTTGGCATCTTTGGGGGGGAGCATCTTCGTGACGCGCAAGCCCACGCGCTCACCAACCCGCCAGCTTCGTGCGTCGATCTCGGCTGGCAGCAAGGTGACACCTTCCTTTACCTTATACTGCTGTGGGCAGCCCCGCAATCGCAGGTAGACCTTCACCTCCATGGGCGGGTCTGATAGCTCTATGTATGCGTGCTGTCCCTGCTTTTTGGCCCCGACGCCCAGGATGACTCCAATCCAGATTGGGCGCTCTGCTCGGGGCTTGCGGAGCTCGGGAACGCAAAGGGCTCGCAATGCTGCCTCCTCCAGGTCTCTGGAGATCTTTTTCTGCTTCGTTTTGGCCTCATTTCCAACTTGGATCACCCGGTCCCGTAGCTTGCTGTCATCCGCTGCAGGGATCCACCCCATAGCCTGACCCAGTTCACAGTGGGTGAAGCATCCCACAAGCTCCCGCATCGGGGATGAGAACCGTGCGTAGATGGCCTGGAGGGACTCGTGAAGGCCGAGCTCAGCCTGGAACTTTGCAGGCTTGTTGCTCATCATGGCCCGACGGTTGATTGCCATGAAAACACAATGCAAGTCCGAGTCCTCCTCGGTATAGTACCACAAGCGCTTGAGGTACGTTGCCAAGGTCTCCTCCCCATCTCGACTCCACCTCCAAACAACGGGGTCTAAGCCATGGACCCGGATCAAGTCGTTGATAAAGGTGGTGAGGCAGTCCAGCGTCTTGTCTGTGGGTGCATTCTGGGCACGGAAGATCGGCTCGATCTTCAGATTCTGGGCCTCCGAGGAGTATCTCTTGAGCAGCTCGGCTCCCTCGATGTTCACCATCAGCGAGATCTGCTCGTTGTAGAGCTCGGTTCGAAGCTGCTCTTCTCTCACCACCATGATGGAGCCATCGTCGTTGATGCTGACGTCATTCCGATGCCGCTTATATTCGACAACATTTCGCTCCCGGGCAAGAGATCGGCGCAAGTTGCCCACCGTGCGCAGCAGCTGCAGCGTCTCGGCAAATGGCCTGCCTGCAAACTCGTGGCACTCGGGAGCCTTTCCGTCCAAGAAGTTCTCGACGCCCTGGAAGGTCAGTTTGGCTTGACTGCATATCTTCCCACGAACAGCCCGTGTATTGGTGACCTTGCCCCGGGAGTCCAATTCCATTTCCATGCAAAGCGCTCTGCGTACTACTTTCTCATTGAGAGACATCGCATCTTCAGAGAGCACCCTTGGCAGCATTGGAACGCAACACCTGGGGAGGTAGAAGCTTGAGCCATGTCGGTGTTCCAAGGCCTGCTTGAAGAGAAGGCTGTGCTGGGGCATGTAGAAACAGCCGTCTGCCAAAGCATAAGACACCAAGTATCCATCCCCCAATGGCTTGATGAAGATGGCCTGGTCCAGATCGCGGGTGTAGGGGCCGTCAATGGTCACCTTTGTAGGAAGAGAAGCCGACACTTCTCAATGCTCGAAGATAGAAACAACAAACGACTAACAAGCACCATGAAACTAATTATGAACCATGAAACTATATGTGTGTATATAGATAGATCTACAAGTAGACATATACACACATGCATATACATATATATATATATGATTCAACCCACACTTTTTTTTTGGGGGGGTGAAGTTAGGTCACATAGGGCCAGGACGTCCGGTCTTCCAGTCCTGGGTCCTCCATGCCACTCCTGGGAGCCCTCGCGAGATCTTGGGCTTCGAGTTCCACTTCGGGCGGAAAGGACGGCTCCAGGCCGTACTCCTGGATACTGCAAAAAAACCGAAGTCTATGACGAGCATCGAAACAGAAGCCCTTTCCATCCCTTTCCCATCTTTCCTCCCCCAGATGAAGAACTTGAAGCCAAAATCAATTGGGGACATATGCTGGAGCAAGTCAGGAAAAACCCCCAAGGTCAGGAATTGTAGGCTTAGCGAATCGAACGTGGAAGCCGGGCACTCCTGGAGCAACTCCTGGACGACAGTCTCGCGCGAGGGTACATGCAGGAACTCGAGGTTGCTGAGCCGGACCGACTGATTGAAAAACTCGGAACACCCCCGATGGAGCCGGGGAGGTGACATGGCTCACACCTACGGAGCCGACTGGGCCGCTATGGCTGCACAGCCGTGCCTGACGGTGCTTTCATCAGGCTGACCGCCAGAAGCAACAAAGGGCGACAGCTTCTGGATGTGCTGAGTGGCTCCACTGCATGAGGACATACCACCTTAGTCTCAGAAAACTCTCTCAAGATAAATTCGTGCCGGGCCGACTCCGCAGGAAGGTGCTCCCTGGCCTGCTGAACCTGCACAAGGGTTCTGGGCTCCGCCCTTTCAATTCATTTGGGGGGTCCCTTTAAGGGGTTTTTCTGGGAAATACCCATGTCGGTGCCCAGCCGACCCTCAGAGGCCTGGCTTTCCGACCCAGGCAGTGCCGGCACTGGAGGCCACGGCCCCCACGCCGCCTACAGGTCGACTCTGCTTGCCGCCCTTGATGGGTGAGTTCTCCAAATTCTCTTAATTTGAGCTTCTTTTAAGGCTATACTCCGAATATTTCTGGTATTCCATAGAGGGACCCGAATGCAGAGAACTATCCATCTTCTAGTCACGATGTCCGTAGCCATTTTGGCTCAAGGGTTTGGGATCGAGTGCCACACAGCGTGGCACATAGCTCAGAACCCCAGTGCTTCAGTAAATGGCCCATGGCTGGTGGGAAGAGGCACGCTCGTTCCAGCCGAAAATGCGCAAAGTGCGGCCAGGCAAGCTGGCCTAGTTACATGGACAGCACATACAGCTTTCCCGGGTACATGGAATTCTGCCGCTGCTCCTCTGGTGTCGATGTGACTGTTGACGGGGATGTGCTACCTGCGTGGTTACAAGACTCAGCAACCGTCGAGCACGATAGCCTTCAGAGGAACACATGCCGATACGACTCCATCGAGCATGATCGCCCTAAGGGGAATACATGCTCCATGTCCAGCCGAATATGCGCAATGTGCGGCCAGGCAAGCTGGCCTAGTTACATGGACAGCACATACAGCTTTCCTGGGTACATGGAATTCTGCCGCTGCTCTTCTGGTGTCGATGTGACTGTTGACGTGGATGTGCTACCTGCGTGGTTACAAGACTCAGCAACCGTCGAGCATGATAGCCTTCAGAGGAACACATGCCGATACGACTCCATCGAGCATGATCGCCCTAAGGGGAATACATGCTCCATGGATAGCTCCATTGGTTCAGCAGGTTCGCAGTGTGAATGCTGGGGTCTTGCTGGTCTTGGTGGTGCTTGGACGGAAGATTCAAATCGAGGGCGTATGCTTTTCCTGTCATTTTCTGACTTGGCGGTTGAAGGTGGCGCCCGCGCGAGGCAAGGAACCTGGATTGGGGTTTGGGAGCCACTTCCAGACTCTTTTCGTGGAGAGGTGCAGACATTGGTCCTGGACTCGGGATTTGATGGCGAGCAATCGTTGCTAGGCCGGATCATCACTTTCGATGTGGTGGCGTCCGGCCACGTTGACGGCGTCAGGGCGTCCGGTGGCATTCGCGCCCTTGCAGCCAAGATGCTAAAGCAGGAGCGCCGCGTATGCCTTGGTGGGGCGTTTCGCTACTTCGATCCCGGAGGCGACACCACGGAGGCCTTGGACACGCCTGTCAGGATTCGGGCTGCGGCAGGTCAGGGCGTGGGCAGGCAGTTCGCAAGCAAGCAGTTGGAGGACAGCCGTGCTCTCTCAGACGACAACGTCCACACAGTGTTGATGCTCGAAGGCCAGCAGTTGCTCTGCAACCGCGCGCTCGCAGCCTACAACGTTCAGAAGGAGTCGACTCTCCACCTGGTCTTGCGCCTGAATGGTGACGTACAGTTCTTCGCGCAGGTGCTGCTTGGCGAGACCAGTACCTTTGGTGTTGCGGCTTCTACTGTGGACACCGTGAAGGCGACGTTCTCATCTGGTCAGCGCTGCTCCATCTTCGCAAGCGCTCAGAAGGAGTCGACACTCCACCTGTTCTTTCGGCGCCTGTGCGGTGGCGTGCAGTTCTTCTTGGAGACGCTGAAGGGTAAGGCCATCGACATGAATGTTGCAGCATCCGCCATCGACACCATGACGACGCTCATGCATCGCATCTTCGGCGCCTTGGGCACCGCGCAGGCCCCTTCCTACTCAGAGGGCCAGGCCAAGAAATACATGCTCTGGTGGCACAAGTGTACCAGCATTCTGGGGACGGTGGCGCTCGCTTCCACATGATCTTCCACCTACAGAGCGGCAAGCCGCGAGAATCACCCTAGAGGCATGCTGCAAGTGCCGTTGTTTCCTTCTTTTTATCTGCACGTGGTCACTGCAAGCTTTCGTGGTTGTTCATGGAGTTTCTGGGCCATGCTGCTTTTTGTTCCGTCGTTCTGGTTTCCAGAATGTGCCAGTTTACTTGTTGGTGCCTTTTGTAGATAGGGTGGGACAGCTTTTCACCTGAAGTGCGGTGCGCTGGGTCAATCCCCCCGATGAGGTGCGAATCCACACTGGCATACTCACTCCGAATTAGGTGCATGCCAAAGGCTGCGTCCGACTGGACTCGGTGCCTCGAAAGCGAAAGCGAAAGCGTCTAGTCACGATGCAGACTCTGGGTTCACATGGCCTCTTCTCGATCGGCCCTCAGAGGCCTCGGCTTGGCTCGATGGAGCTGGCACTCACGTGTCCAACTGTAGCATGCTAGAATTTAAGGTTTAGGGTTTAGATTAGATGGTTGAGCTCATGTGCGATGCCAGAAATGGTCATAGCAGGGGCCCCGGCTCCGACGAGGGCAGGGTTCGAGGTTCCTCCGACCTGGTTCTCGCGCCGCAAACTTTGGAGCATTTGGACATAGGCTAGTGGCATAGGTCCGATTCTCAAGCTCAAGACGCATTTGTGATCCAGAGTACGAACCAACTCTTTTACCTCTGCAACTGAATCCTCCAAAATCACGCCTAGAGAGGCCGCATCACCAATGTTCCGCACGCGCACTCAACATCCAACAGCACCGTTCCGCACATGTCCAAAGCTTCCAATTAGAACCGGTGTAGAAGCGGGTAGTCGGCTTATTTCCAGCAAAGATGTGCTCTTCCTTTTTGTTTCCGGCTCTTCTGTCCGCTCACCAATGCAGCCATTCGCAAAGCAAAGGCTCCCGGTTTGCTTCGAAGGTTTCGAGGCTCGTCGTCCGTGACGCGGCCGAGCATGGCAGGCATGTGTGTCACAATTGTAGAGCGCTTTGAAACATCACTCAAAAAGTATACGAGTTCAGCTGGCTTATAACTAGTCACAGAAGTGGCTGAGACGATGACGGTTGAGCCCCGCACCTCAGGAGCAGTATAGCTTAAAACGCCCTCCAAAGTCAAAGGCTGGAAGGCCGCTTGCGCATCATGGCGTTGCGCCGCGCTTTGCACACCACCTGAGTCGGGAGACTCCATCTTCGACCGTCAAAAACCTCCAAAACCTCCAGAGGCCGCAAGGTACCCCTCCCACTTCGAAACTTCCCCAGAACCCGTGGAAGACTCCGAAGGGCCACTCCGAAACGCGTAGCGGCGTAGAGCATCGGAGAACTCCCGGCCTGGCCGTTCTGGTTGAAGGCTCGGTGCTCAAAAGTCACGATGCCCCGGGAGGGGTTGGAAGAGCTCGGTCGGTTTTGGATCACCTCTCCGAGGTCAGGGCTTGCGGACGGAGGCTTCAGAACGGTCTTTCTATAGTATTAAGGGCTTTTGATCAAGTCTAAACTGGCACAGCAAGGGAGAGCCAGCCTCCGTTTCGGCCCGGATTGTGTCGCCATAGAAGACAGGCTTGGGGAAAACCACCTGGGGCTGTAGTCTCTTTTGCTTTACAGGGCTTGGGTTCTGATCTGTAGGGTTGTTGGTCATGTATCAGAGCGTCGGGATTCAGGGCAAGTGCAAAGTGAGTCAACTTTAGTAGAATGAACATGTTGAACCCCGTTTGGGAATCTCACCCTCAATCGACCGGCCCCACAAAACAGGGGCCTGGACAGCCTTTCCCGGCCTCTTCAAAGCCGAGGTTGGCAATTGTGGTGCCATGAGTTGTCTCCAGCACGGACATGCCCACCAGCAGCGCCAGGGTGAACATGCTGTTGACGAGGGGTTTGCCAAACTGAGTGGCCTCGGAACATAGAATCCGATTGAACATTTCCCAATCATTTGCAGTCAGGTTTCTCGCTAAATGCCCCTATAGACCCCATAAACCTAACCCAATTCCAATAATCAATGGATCGGGCCTTTGCGGACTCGTAGTCGAGGTGAAGTTTCGCTGGGTTCAGCGTCATTGTTGTGAAGAGGAGGTTGTCAGTTTCACCTCAGAATGGCGGCCAGGGGAACAGCCGGCCCACTAACCAGGCGTGAGCAAAGAGCTTGGAGAACTCATCGATTCGAATTAGGCACATAGCTCAAGCATTACAGTGGATACTCATGTTACTCATGAGCAGCGATTTGATGGACATTCTTACACGGACCGAGGCCATTAAGGCAGTCGCAGCCAGGTCCTTGTGGAAAGTGTGTTTGCGTGCTCTGCCCTCAAGGCCACGAATCCCCGCCGAGCTGCTGACGGTGCGCGTGAGAGCGTGCTGGATTATCAAGCCTGAAGAACAGCCGGAGCCCCTTTGAGGCACCCTAAAACCCGGAACCCGAAAGCCTGATCAGTTCTGACATGCTCAGGGAGGACCACTGTGTTTATAGTTTTCCAGAGCTCCTGGATTCAAGGGCATAGCCACAAGTCCAAGCCTTCTGTCAGCTCCTCCAGCCACTTGCCATGGAAGGGCCCCTCCGGCCAGGCTGCTTTCCTTGAACTTATTGCTCGGGTCTTCGTCAGGGTATGCATGGTTTAGGCAATTGGGGACTGCAAGCCTCGGAACGGCACGTCTTCTGGTTTGAGGGATCCATTCAAGCTCATACTGACACGATTGAAGCATCCGCAGGTAAAGCGTAGCTATGCTCAGTCTGGACACCTACAGGCTGCCAATTCTCCAATCCTGCGTTGCGGGACCAGAACTTAAGATGAGAGGGAACAAGAAACAACAAGAAACGATTCTCAGCTCTGCCAGATGGCTGCGCCGCTTCTGTCGAAGGTCCGGTGGAATCCGCACGGTCCAGGATGCGCTGGGCCTGGCACTGCCGAATCTAGTATGGCAGCAACATGTATGAAAGGTTTGCTTTGGGCAGGGCAGGCAAAAACGCCAGGACTATGAATATTGGATCCATGTTCCCTTGGCCCCCGCCTGCTTGAAATGTGGGATGTCCACCATCTGTCCCTTGAAGCCTCGGCAAGTGCGACAGCCAGCCACCAACAGTCAGAAACATCATCGTGCCGAAAGCTGGAAAGGATTGCACCCCTCAAACAAAACAAGGGCTGGACCATGAACGCAGCACTTCACAAAAGCCCTCAGCACTTGGGACTTGCATCCATAAGAGCCCTCCGCATCTCTCACTTGCCTCACAACCATCCCAAGATTCTGCTGGCCAGCAAATTGCAGACTCACTACAAGCTTGCAGAGACATTTTCGTTGCTTCGATCAGCGCCAGAGCCACTTGCCTCAAAAGCAACAGATAAGCCCAGAATCATCAAGCCCTTGTCCTCATTCAGCCCTTCAACCCTGTACCTTGTACCTTTACGCTCCAACTTTCTATTCCAAGAAGCTCCGCAGCCACCCGAAACGCCGGGCCCGAAGCCGGCTTCCCCAGCCCTCAAGGTCTGAGGGCTTCCTCCCAAAAAACCCTAGAGCCGATTCACAAAATCAACCATGACCCTCGTATCAGGCCTTATAAACTCCAACCCCCCGAAGTTTCAAAGACCAACTTAAACTCTCAAAGTCCTCACTTCCAGCATCTTCCAGCCGAAGTCACGGAAAGCTCCAGGCTGGCTCTTCGCCGCCTCCAGGAGTTCCGTCGCCTCGGCCACCTGAACCGCATTGCAGGGCCGGGGGCTGTTTTGTTGGGACGACCACGCTTAGATGAGAAACGACGTATGTGAGCACAAATAGTCCAACCCACCACACTGGTACAGAAACATTGCTCAAGGGGGCCAACCTACTTGGGAGGGGGTGAAGACGGACAAGCACATCCAAGATGCTTGGAGACTTAGTCGTCAGTTTGGGTGGTCTTTAGAGGATTCCGGGCATTCCATGACCCCAATTGCATCGAACTTAAAGTTTAAGACTTGACCCCCTGAGTAAGACTCACCCATCAGCCTGCTGAGCTTGATGCTGGACTCGCTTAGTACAAGCAAGGGAGAAAGGGAGACCGAGAGCGAGAGAGAGATCAATAGCGAGGGAGAGAGGAAGAGGGGGAGAGAGAGCGAGGGAGATGTGGAGAGGGGGGGAGAGGGAGGGTTCATAGTGTTCGTAGGGCAATCACAACTCGGACAAGCCAGGGATTAGGGCTGCGGGATGGCTTGGGGGCTGGGGAAGCTCAAGGCTCCATGTGCGGCTTCAGTGCTTTGAAGCGCCAGGCCGACGTTTCTAGGGGGATATGATTCAGAAGAACATTTTTGTGATGGCCAAACATATTCAGAACTATGTTGCTTGCTCAGCCTCCGGCCTAAATTCATGGGATGCATGGGCTGGTTGAGAGTTCGGGAGTTCTTTGCTTGGAGCTTAGCGGTTTGGAGTTCAAGAGTCGCCCAGCATTGCAGGGGCTGGGGAAAAGGTGGGTGGTGCTTGGGATGGAACGCAAGATGCCGAAGCGTGTGGCCTTTCTAGTTGTGCAAGGGAATGTCAAGAGCCCCGAGTGCACAGGCCTCCTGGCTACTGGGCGAGAAGGCGGCATTCACGACATCGATCTGGTCCTGCGAAGCAAACGTACAAGTCTGAGTGTCGCAATTGCTTGGTCAAAAGCGGCCTGAACACATATCCAAGCAACACCCCCCACTGAACAGAACCTGATTCATGGATCTGCACAACTGTCCGTGGCTTATCAGGGCATACTGCCATTAGCCGCTCCGGGTGGATGGTGAGCTTGCCGTCGAAGCCAGTATCCGCCGAAGTTTCGCTTTCTGCCCTCACATCACCGAGGCACTTGGGGGTTGCGAGAGTTCGGCGCAACGCACATGATGCATCATGATGCGCTCTCCGTGCGACCTCCAGTTCAGCACGTGGCGCTGACATTCCACGCCTTTTGGCCCACAACCACCTGACCCCAAATTCCTGCAATGCAACTTTATACCCACTTCCATGTTGCCAAGGCACCTCAGTCCCTCCAAATCTTTCAGGTTCGTGTAGACCGTATCAATGGCCTCAGCTCAGCACCAGGCCAAAGGGCTGATCAAAATCATATTTTTGTAGTGCCTACATAATCTATAGGGTGCCATTAAGGGTAACGATCAACCCGGGTTGGAACATGTTCTGTTGCGGGGTTGTTCGGTACCCGCTCTGTGCCTGACTCAGACTCACTCCATTAGGGAGGTTCTCTAAATTAGGGCCCGTAGCCCGGAGTTTTTGGTACCCATCTTCTAATACGGGCCTTGAATTCAAGCTTCCCCACCCGGCCGGCCTGGACCTTGGCGCCCTTTGCAGCCAACAGTGTGAGGCTGCGGCACAGCTGGAAAACTTCCTGGGCTACTGGGTGCTTCCAGGGCCAGGGCAAAAACACTTGATAGCTTCTCCCGGGTGCTCGATTCAGACTCCTAGGTCCCCAGCAATCACTTTTAATTGAGCTTGTCCTGTCTGTCCTGAGCCCGATCAGGAGAATCCTTCAATATTTGAAGAAACTGTCGCTGTACCCATCACTAAGGCAAGCAACGGCCAATCTCAACCCCCAAGTCCTTGACAAACTCTCCCGTCGTCAAAGCCCCTCCATGACTCCAAAAGGCACGATGCACCGTGAACTACTTCGAGCTATATCAAGAAGAGAGCCATTGCCATAGTCGTAGGGCATATCATGATTCTGGGTACGACATGTAAACGGCAACTCTCCACACTGCGGCCGCAACGAAAAGACGCGTGCTGAACCTCACGACGCTCTTACGCACGTCCTGTGCATCCGGGTCTGCAATTGAAGCAGAAGCCTCTATCAACCCCATACTGAAGCACACATGGCATTTCACACTGAACCCTATGATGAATCGCGCATTACTTCGGCACGCTCTGTAACTTCGATTCACTCCCCCGAGTGGCCAAGTACTGTCCGGAGCCATCCCGGCGCTTTTTGGCACCCAGTTCAGCAGACAGGTCCTGGGAAGATGGGTAGAAGGATCCTTGACAGGAAGACGGATGTTGACCAGAGTCTGTACAGCGCCTAGATATTAGACCAGCCAGGCTTCAAGAGGCCAGAGGCAAGGAGTTTTTGGTTCCCATGGTGTTCTGAAAGGGCGGTGCTTTTGGTTGTCCGGGCACAGTGGAAACAAGCGGAGATTTCATGGTCAGCTCGAGTCCTCTGCCCCCCAAGTGACGGCTTCAACCCGCGGATGCCGCGCAATCTCGTGGGCCCTCGGGGGTGCCTGCAAGGCATGAGTTGAAAATGTGTATAAGGGTCCATTTTCATGAGGTGCGGGTATCGGCTCTGTCGACGCAAGCCTCCTGCGTCGACCAGATATAGTTGTTGCGCCGTTCTACGACTCTGCATGGATTGATGCGGATGGCTGGGCTGCTTGCGCCGGAGTCGTGAGGAGCAAGACGAAAACTATCAGGTATGTACGAACCTGTTGCAGTCTCAGTTATGGCTATTTCTGGCTTGCTCCAACTTGCTTCCCTCACTGCCTCTGGCACTTCGCTGACAATGGGAAGGACCGTGGTGCCCCCAACCTCGTGCAGGGTCGAAAATTGTTCATTGTGACTCGGATTCCAACCCCTAACATACTTTCGTATATCATGTCTAGGGGCCGATATCGGTGAGCCATCCCAGGGAATATCATAAGAGCCCCATTCCCGCTACGAGTAATATCTCAAGAGCCTCTTGGCCATTCTGAAACCTAGCTGCAACTTCCCGGTCATACTCCGCACCTCCCGGCCCAGCTGCTTCTCCAACTCCTCAGCTCCAGGATCCCAAAGTTGCGTCTTCTTCCGTGCCACACTTGCTTGTGGGTTTAAGCCCTCCCTGTTCTTGCCTTCCGAGGTTTACACTTACACCCGGCACCGTGGTCTACTTCGCTGATGCCTCGAACGGGTTTCGCCTCAGCTGCAGCAAGATTCCCGTCATTTGTCCCGCAGGTCAACCGAGTCTAGCCTCCGCCACAGAAGCTCTATGCCAGCAAAATCAGAATTCGTTCCGGACCTCCGGACTACCGACTTGTGTCACGTGAGTCCCGTGCTCACGTGTCCTGCGCTCATGCGTCTCCTCCTGTTCTTCTTCTTCTTCTTCTTCAGCGGAGCCCTCGCGCAGGGGCGCGCCCAGTCCTGTCCTGTCGTGAAGCTTCCCTCCGCTCCCGGCCTTGCCTCCCGTCGGTAAGTGTCTCTCTGTCTCTCTGTCTCTCTGTCCCTCTCTCTCTCTCTCTCGCTCTCCTTTTCTTTCTTCCTTTGTCAAGCATATATACATATACAGATGCATACATAAAGATTGGGTTGTTGCTGATGCAAACCTTCATCTCACTTTGCAAGACAGGATCTGCCAGCTTTGTGCCGAGCTTGTCAAGATCTGCAGGACTCGAAACCTTCGGCACCACGAGCATGTCCGGCTTATCCTCGGATTGGAGTTGTGAGGCCTTGAACTGCCCCTCTGGCTTTGATCTCTGATAGTCTGGAACTGCCCATGTTTTCGGACACCCAACGCAGCCAAGCGTCCTTTTTGAGGGTGGAGCTGACGTCAGCTTCCCAAAGTGGCGTGTCCATGGGGTTGATCCGCACGCAGACGGTCTTGCTTCCCCACTGGGTAGATGTCATCCACTTGCTGACCTCTTCCCTGACAAGATCTTTTCAGTTTAGGGGTTTCGCCTCAAATCTTTTGCAAAGCCTTGCATACTCTACCCTCGACAGTTCATGCTAAGCTGAATGACGACAACATAGACCGATCAGGATTTTGCATCGCGACTCGGTCCGGACGCCTTGCCGAAGCTTTCTCTGCTGGGAGCACAGAGTCCTGCGGCTGGTGTGGGGGGCCACGCTTCCACGAGGTTGAGGTGTCACAGCTTTCATTGAAGCTTGTGCTTGCCGCTACATTCAGGGATTGAGGCTCCCCCAACGATTCATTAGCACAGGGTGTTGCAACAGGCTGAGGAAGACAACTTTGAAGCCAAGTCGTGCTACAGCCGCAAGTTCAACAGTCGCCACAGACCCTCAAACGTAGCTGACCTGGGCATTACAGGACCTTGCTGCCGAGGCTGCGCATTCTGATTACGATGCTCTCGTTGGACAGCGTCAATAGCCTAGACCCCTAGCATAAGCCAAGCGTGACCGCACGACCTCGAGGTCGATAATCAGTGCATCTGCCCGGGAGGCCAGTGCTTTCCTTGCTGTGTGAGCCAGAAGAGGAGTCGAGGTCATGTGTCATACCGCCATGCCGAATGCAAAAGCACCAATGACATAACGCCGGTTTGTTCAACTGAATAGAACCGGCCTGCGTGCTAAACGGTGCAAGAAACTCTTTCTCACCCGATCCGCGGAGTTTTTTTCGTGCAACTGCGAAACACTGAAGAAAAGTAAATTCATACTCTCTGAAGCCTCGTCTTAGGGCCACTTAGACTTTTCACCTCTTGAAGCAACACTCCTGACTCGAGGGCCATTAAGCTGCGCAGCTCCAGGAACTTTTGGGAGCCACCAGGAACAAAGTGTAGGCTCCTGTTGGGGTGAAGGTGATGGGAATCAGAGCTTCGCAACACCCTCCCTGTCTGAAACAGCTCCGAATGGTTTCAGACTTGACCACCGCGGAAGTTCAGAGTTGCCTGATGATTCAAGGCAACCCTCGCCATTTTCGCTGGTCCTGCCCGAATAGGGCCTTCAGAAGACCAAAACATCCCAAAGCCCTCGATTTACTATACTTTACAGAAGACAAGATTGCAGATAATGGAATGCTGTACTATGCATACATCAATATGTCATAGTATATATAAATAAACAAATACATAAATAAATAAATATATATATATATACACATTTATTTTGTACTTATTGTATACATTATATATCTCAGAGCCCCTCTGCCGGCTCCGTACCTCAACCTCCGCGCCGCAGATCGGAGGCTGCTGAAGCGCAGGGCCATGGCGCGAGCACAGCTTCAAAGCTTCTAACAGCACCTCCCAACTACTCTTTAACCACAGTTGCAGGGTGTGTAAGCCCCCTTTGTTAACGGGAAGTTCGGGGGGTGCAGGTACACAACGTATGTGTTGGAGTTACCGCCCTAAAGCAACAAGAGTTCACAGATCTGTCTGTCTAAAAAGCTAAGTGACCACCAATTCTGCAAACCCTGAACGGACTTGGAGCAGCGATCCGATCTCTGGCCTTTGAAGCTTGAGGCTGGAGGAGGGGGGGGGGGGGGGGGGGGTTCTCTATTCCAACCACGCAAGCTGATCTTCGCCTGCAGCCATCTTTACTCAAACTGCAGCAGATTACTTGCGCAAGGATGTGATGTGTCGAGGCCGCTTCCAAGAGCCTACAAAGTCCACCTCCCTGATCTTGTCTCTGCCAGATCATCTCTCACCGTCGTGCAGGAACCCCAAAATCCCAACCTAACCAAAGCTCTGAAATCCAAGCGAGACCATTTTGCTTCAAAAGCGATAGTGATGGCAGGTCAGCCGCAGTATCGCTCCCGAAACCTTGCTTTCAGAGTTTCTGGATCATCCATCTGCAGCACATGATGAAACACGCCAGCAGCATGTGGAAAACATGCAGGACACACAGACCTATATAGCGCCTTCCTAGTCCATACTATACTATATATATATATATATATATATATATATATATATTTGTATATGTATATGTATGTATGTATATACATATATATATATATATACATCTATATATACATATGTATATATATATATATATTGTTTTTTTTGGTTTGCTTATTTCTTTTAGACTTTTGTATTTACTTGGTTTATGCGCCCTCTTCGATCGACCCAATGTTGCAGCTGCGTGGCTCCTCGGGGGGCTCACTCAGCATCACGTGGGGGTTCTCGGCAAGGTAGGTTCGCAGCGTCGTTTTCCTGGGTTCCGGTACATCGGCAAGCCCTGCAAAGAACGGACACGAAGAATCTCAAAGGCCGCAAGCGACAGAAGTTGCAAACGATGCGTCCAAGCAGCACTCGCATTTAGTTATGCGTTGTCATGTTGGCAGAGCAACTTGTGCTTGAGAACGCATTCACTCACGACAACAAGGCACTGGTCACATTCGGCAGTCGATTGTAGGAGGAACCCTCAATCTAAACCCACAATTGCTTCCAGACCACCCATCCACAAGAAAGGTTTCGTCCAGAAAGCTGTTGGCAACGTAGTCAGGCACGCCTACCATGGACAACAGGAAGCACGCACCCACCAACAACTATGGAGATGATGCCAGTCTTGCAACAGGGCACCTTCCCTCTGTGTAGCCAGCACGCAATGTCGGCAGTACCTCAGTTGCACAAGCAGAGTGGCCACGTCGTCCTGAAGCGATAGCTGTTGTGTTATCACACTTTCGAGCCAGCCGCATGTTGGCACATTTGCCAATGGTAAAGAGTTGATTTACATGTTGAAGCAGGCTCGTTTGCGATGATCCGCCTGCGTCTTTGCATCTACACCATGTCCATAAGCAGAAGCAGAAGAAATCGGCATGATGCCTACACAACACAAAATTATAAGCTAAGGGCTCCCGAGAGGATAAACTTCGGAGAAGCATTGTGCATACCGGCCCCCTTCTACTCAGGTCCCAATATTCACAAAAGGCCTCCAAACCGATCAGCATTGCACTGTGCCAAGGCTCACAGGGCAAGGGCGGATTCCGGAGTCTGGGGTCCAGCTCCACACCTGGAGCGGATAGATGATATGGGTTCATGTTGGGGCTTTATGGTCGTAAGTTTTGCTGAGTTTAGGGGGTGTATAGGGGCCTGACAATAGCCCAAGAGTCTGTGATGTCCGGCAAATCAAGGGACAGTTCCGGGAGATCTGCGAGCGCGCATGCGCAGCCTACTTTCATGGGTCTGCATGGTGGGTCAGTAGAGGGCTGATGCGTAGGGTGGCTTGGTGCAGTTGCTCATCTGGTCACACAGTGTCGCTGAGTGGCAGAACATGGGCCAGTAGCTACAGTTGCAGGAAAGCAACGCTGCAACCCCACCAAAGCCCAGCTATGGCCACTTAACATCAACTGTTGGCAACATGCTTCATCACAGGAGCCTTTGTCACAAAGCGAACTAAAACCACCCCCCAGTGAAGTTCGAAATGCTTGGCCCTGAGCATATCAGGACAAAGCAACTTTGACCTCGCCGTAGGCTCGCTTCAGGCACTTCTCCTGCAATTCTGCGGAGGCTGCTTCGATGCCGTGATAAACGCTACGGGACTGAAGTGGGTGGGCTGCCCGCCAGCAAGCTGCTTCCCTGCAGGAAAATGGGATGGCGGCCCAAGTCAAGGTTCCAGCAAGACCCACCAAGAAGTGACAGTAGCTTCCGTGGATTTGCACTTGCATGCTGCCTGCTGCCGAGGTGCATAGCGTTCCCAGATCGGTGCTTCTTGAAGCTTCTCATCGCTAGATCGTGTGCACATGAGGCCCACGTTCCTCGAAGCTGGAGGGGAAGTAGTTCGAACACATACCAAAAAAGCCCCAGAATTTCGAATCTGCGGCCACGGTGAGCAGGTTTGTCGGCATGTGCTGTGAACGACTGCCGCACCTTTCCCAGCTCATATCTTCACTACCATAGCCCTCCTGTGCTCTCCTGAAACCCTTCAGCTCGTCACGCGAAGAGTGGATGTTGGAACCACACGTCGTAACATACTCTTTTTCTTGGACAAACTGTCGCCACCTGTACTCTTTATGACTTACACATCCCCAATCGTCCCAAGCATGCCACAAAAGCCGCCACGCTGCGTGCCCAAGCTCGGTGCTCCCTCCTCCAGGGGTTCAAAGGTTGCCTCGATGAACCTTCAGGCAGGGCGTAGAGTTAGGGGCTTCTGTTTGCAACCCGCCAACGCAGACCAGCCAGGACTGAGAGTTTAGGGTTTAGGGTCCCTAAACCCCAAACCTTATAGGGTTTGTAGGGTTTAGGGCTAGTTTCGAGCGGACACCCCACAGCCCTGGCCTTTGCCATGCTAGTCAGGGCATGGGCTGGGCGCCAGGCTCAAACTCCTCCTCGCGCTTTGCCAGAGGCTCCCACTCAGCCTTTGGGATCCTCGGAACACAGGAGTACACTTCTCAGGAGATTAGAAATTGCTCACAAAAAAGCAGTAGAAGAAGAGTAGCTTTATGAATTGACAAGTCTATAGATGACACATGAAGAGTGAAAAGCAAATACTGCCAAGGGCCCCGCGCAAACCTACTTATGTTCACTTCATTTATTCTGGATTTTTCAAAGCTCGCTCGCGCGAATAACAAACTCGCTTGTATTCTGCATAAACTCAAAAACTTGAGCTCGCAAACTTCCTGCGGAACCCCCTTACAGAGTGGGGCCCTGAGTTGTAAGCAAGTTATAACTACATATGTTAAGCCAGATGTAACACATTTTAGAGGTTTCCTATAATATGTTAGAAGCCTGCTTCGGGTGGAAGTCATAACTAGGTGAGCCTAGTTGGCTAACTTCCGTAACCTGCTGCACCAAAACTATACATTTTCAGCGGTGCATGATGTTTATACATGTTTTGCAATTCTTACTCCTTGTTGTGACAACATATACTTTTCATGCAGAAAACGAGGATTTACATGCAGCAAGTTGTGTTCCTAGTGAGACCGTCAACGTTTCAGAGATGATGCAGGAGCGCAAGTCATCGTCACATCGACCTCGCATCCGCCCGTCCACCCCCCGCAGCATGACCCCCTTTCGAGGCCCAGCACCCACCCCACATCCGCTTCACATCCCGCCGCATGCATTCCGAAAGCACCCCAGGTATGTTCCTGACCAAAAACGTTTCAGCAAAGCTTCGTGTCAAGAATACCCAAAGAAAGCATACGCAGCATTTCTTTCTGCAAAGCATGTTTTTCTTTTGTAAAAGCAAAAGCCTACAAAGCTATGCGTTTACCATGGTTGTCATCTTTGTGCTACCTTAGATACAGTAACTTCCATAACTCAGTTACATGTCTAGGACAACTTACTTATAACTAAGGGCCCCCACTCTTTACCAAAAGAGGCGTGAATGCAATGAGCTCGTGAGCTCAAGCCCCAACATCCCTCCTCCCCCCGTCCCTGCTCTTGCAAAGTATTCGACAGCCATGCGAGGTGGGGACTGTGCCTGAAACCCGCTGAAACCTCACATCCCGCAGGGTTGAAGGTTTATATAAGCTTTACCTGGACCCCCAAAGTATGTAAACAGTAGAGCCCAAAACCCACAATTAAAAGGGCCATGATTTTACATAATTTCGGGATGTAGGTCTAGGTATCCTCCATTGTTATACCTGGACTTGGGACCTGAGGAGCCCATGCGCAGCCCAAGCATCTGGTATGCGCAGGCGACGAAGGAGCTCGCGGGATTCGGCGCCGTCGACAAGGAAGCGATCTCCTGGAGCTTGATCTGAAAAGCTAGATGGTAGGCCCTTTTCTGGTACCCGAATCCAATTAAATGGAAGAAGGACTTGTATGATAGGCATACGCTCACAGAAGCCCAAGAAGGTCCCACCATGTAGATCTACCCACATCTCCTGCGCCAAAACTTCCTAGAGTCATGGGTGTTTTCCTGGCCTGGCCTTTGTCTCTGGCTTGGCGATACCAGGGTACTCGCCTCCTGACTGCAGGCTTTACGGCATTTCAAGGACTACAGGGTTGAGGGTTTTGGGATCAAGAAGGATCAAGATCACAAGAACCTAGATCTGCTTGACGAAAGTCGCAGTGGTTGACGACCTAAGACTTCCGAGGACTTATGCCTACAAACCCTAGAGATTTGAATAAATAGGGTCCAACCTTTTCGGGTCCCTGGTCTCATGATGCGCTTTGTATACATGGTGCCCCCCAAAAAGGGGCCCCAGGAAGGGCAGCCCATCCCTGACTTGCTGCCCCGATGCGCTCGAAGAAGATGGGTGCGGGGTGTGCGAACTGCCGCTGATAGCCCTTGACCCGGACGTACTGGTAGCCCTGGCAGGGAGCCGCAGGGATTGGGGTGTCCAAAATGGTTCAATTAGGGCCGGTGGTGGAGACTGTGTTCCCACTTCTCTGCGGGTTTCGATGGTTGCACTCACTTCCATGCCAGAATGCAATAGCACAGTTAGATACGCCGGTGTAGATGAAGGACAGGCTGTAGAGACAGCTTGACTGATGTAGTACTGATGTAGATTTGCGCCAGCCTGGATACTTGGTGTTGTGAGTAGCGCACTTCGCTTGCTCAGCAAAGAGCCAAACCCCACAATCGTTACCTGAGCGTCTGGAGACGGCACGTCCTCTTAAACACTCAGGACCTGCATCGTTGGGAAGCTCGCAAACGCCCATGGTGTGAACTAACCTGCCCTGCAATCCCGAAACAGCAGCCCAAAGCAACAGCATGCTAAGATGACATGTGCGTCATACAAAATCAGCTACGAAATCCACAGACTGTCTGCCAAGCTGCTAGCTCGGAAGACATCGCCGGTAAGTCCACACCCTATGCTGTCTGCACTTGTTGGCACTGGTACCGATGCTACGTCTTGCTGCTCTGGCTCTCCTTGTTCTGCCAATCGTATATGCGTAGAGTAACCCTGGCTTATAAGGGTTGTAACTGTCTCTGCCAGGTCATGCGCAGTGGGTTTACCTGCATGGTTGAGTCTGACTCAAGGCCTTGAGCCCTGCACCCGGTCAAGTTCAGAACTTCGAAACCCTCATAAACCTTTGTTCCTGCCAGGCTGCGAGACCTGTTCAGAATCGGAAATTTGGGAAGCTGCGCATGGAGTTTGATGGGATGTTGCCGTGGATGCTGTGGATTGAACCCAGCTTAGTCTGTGTCTTACATGGCCGTAGCTGCAAGAAATCATATCATGGCCTATGACATGGCTGTGATGCCACGGCACCTTTGCCAAGTCGATGGCCAGTGCAACATATTGGCAAGAGAGTTGTTCAAGATGAGGAATTGCTGGGGTTGATGAAAGGGTCGCTCTCAACAGCAACCTCAATTTGGCAGTGTTAACCCTGCGGCTGGGAAGCTCTGACTGACCGGGGCAAGGGCGGCAGCCACGCGCAACGCAACCATGGCCGGCGTGTCTGGCATTCTTTGAGATGTGCTAGGAATTTGGTTTAGAGAACGAAACACCCTTGGTCTGCCCTTCAAGACTCAAGTAGTAACGATGACACGTAGACCGCACCTCCCCGATGCCAATGGCCGACGCCGGCCGGCCCCGTCCGGGCAGCGGGGACGGAGAGGGGGAGCGCAGCGGATCTCGCAGCAGTGTTTGCCAAATCTGGGGTGTATAGATGCAGAGGAAGCAAGAAGTCACCCTTGCGCCTTGCGCCTACCAGAATCGTTCAACCGCTGTCCATGTGGGGGCCTTTCTCCGGAATTGTGGAGTCCGAGCCGCTCCTGCAGCTCATTCTTCTGTCGGATGCTTTTCGAAGCTTCGGATGCCAAACTCATTGACAGGTCCTCAGCGCAGCCTGTGGAAGTGTGGAGGTCTCCATGAACCTGGCAGCCGGAGCTCTCAGCAGCTCAGGGATCCCAGCACTACGAGCACGGATCCCAGCAGCCACACACAGGGCCTAAACTCACCCAAAAACCACACACCCAGCCTCGAAGCATCGAGGTCCATGTCGAAGCTGCTGGACAGTCGGCCCTAAGCTTTCAGAGGCTCTGGAGCTGTCATTCAGTGTGTTGCAAGTTGCGCCGATCAGTCGCCGATCTGAACCATAAGTCGCAGTGTTGGGACTATTTCGAGGTGCGGGAGTCTTCGACAGCTTCAAGCTCTGAACCCCCCCCCACCTCTAGCAAGAGCCATCACCACAAACCCGAAACAGTCACAAAGCACCTAAACATCCAGCTTTCGGGCACAGCATATCTCTCTCTTGTCTGCCCAAGGCCACCACGACCAATGCTTCAGCCTCGCTGGCACTGCAGCATGGCCTTGGCAAAGCTTGCAAGCGGGGACATCGCAGCTTGGAGCTTTTGCCCGTCATCTGAATCGGCCGCTCGTGCTTGAGATCAGGCGCAGAAGATGGTTCTAGCATCAGTTCTGGTGTCAACTAATAAACTATAGCATCGTCACAAGGATGCCCGGCCTATTTGGGTACATGCAATTGAGGCTGGCAGAACTAGCCATCATTCCCAGCACCTACTTCCGGGATCTTCAAGGTGTATTGACGACGGTAATGAGTTTTTGGGCATAAGGGACGTGGGCTGCAACACAGGAAGATGCAACCTGAGCCGGCAACAGTGACGCCTGCCCCCGAGCAATTGCCTGGTCTGCAAGAAGTCAAGCAAAGCGCCCAGCTTTACAGGAAATAACATGGCCTCCCCAAGAGAACCTTTCAGGGCTTCCCACATGATTTTCGTTTCTGCGGGCCTACGAAAACATGTTAAGTGTTAAGAAATCCAACCCCAGCCCATACACACGTCCGCAAGCGCTTCTGAACCCTGATTGGTGGAGACAGGACCTTCAGTGGGCAGCTGGATCCCCTTCAACTTCACACGAGAAAACTTCAACAAACAGCAGCTGGAGCCCGCCGCATAGAAGAAGCCTGTCGCAGTAGTCATATCTGAAGAAATCCCGGAACACAAGACCCCAAACCCTAACCATAAACCCTAAACCCTCATCCCGGAACACAAGAAGCCGGAAGGGTGAACCTTGCAACCTTACGATTCGTGCACCTCGGGCTCAGCGTCGCCCCCCGCTGCGACCTCGGCCTGCCAGCAGTGCACTGGGTTTAAGAGCTATGAGGATTTAGGATGGTTCAGGGTTAAGTTTCTAGGGTTTTTTTGAACACCTGACTGACTAGCTCGCTGAAAGCATTGTTGGGGCCTTTAGCGTCTTGCGGACAACAACTGCTGCGGAAAACAACTCAACTGATCGGGTGTCGCTGCATACTCGGCAAACTACTCGGCAAACCTCACGCACTTAGCTTGCAAGCGCCGCGTACTAGAAGCAAGCTTGCTTTCGTTTTGGTTAGGGTCACTTGTTTGGCACATCGAGCAGAGAAAATTCGCACGTATACTCTTGCAAACATGCTTCAGCCATGTGCAAGGCTTTGTACTCCGCACACTGGGTAACACTGGGTGTTCTCCACGCGTTATTCACACATTCCATGGCCACGTCAGGCTGCTTGCGGTGGCGCAGGCGGAAAGCCCCCATAGTCCTGTCATCCATGTGCTGCCAAGGGGCATCGATGAGGGCCCAGCTGACCTCCAGCCGCGCCTTAAGGGCTGAGGCGTGGGATTTTAATAGCTTCAAGCTTCGAAGGCTGAGCATTCTCCAGAGTGAAAGTACTAGAGCCGTTGCCCGAAAATGGAAAGTTCAGTTCTTGAGTTCAGTGTTGTAAAAGGCCCCGAGTGAGTGGGAAGGCGGAAGACAGCAGATCAAGATGGGATATAGGGCTCGAACTTGTTCTCGAGCCCCCCGCCCCCCGCCCCCACCACTGCTTTGCTACTCGCATTGACAGTGCCCTCTCATGCACGGGCCACGAGAACTCCCCCCTCAAAAACCTCAAGCCCCTGACCTAGTCACGTCACGCCCCTCTGCAGCGCAAGACCCACAAGCAAAAGCTGAGGTGGATCGCTGGATATCTCGCAGCCCGGAAGGCCTCCAACACCTGGCTGAGGGAAAGAGTGATAGTTCGTCATACATCCGAGAGAAGTTCTGCAAAGTGATGGGTCAATGTCATATTTGCATATACCAGTATGTTTACATACATACGGCATCCGCTCCCCACGCAATCATCCTGACCCTTTCCCCTATTGGTAAAGGTTTGAGGTTCGGGGCACAAAGAGCCAAGGACTTTGTGAACTCCTGTCCTCGAACGGTTCTCATATTCTTTGCAGCCATGTCAACATATTGCGTTGCCCACAACCCCGCACCCAACCCTGAACCCTAAACCCGCAAGCGCCATCCTAAATCCTTGATTTCTTGATTCCACGGGGGCGCGCATTCTCTATGCCTGGGGACTCCAGTACTGCAGGCCCGGGCCCTGCCGGGCGCAGTCTTGGACATCTAACCAGTCTGGTCATGCTGATTAGAATATCCAGAACACATGAGGCATCATATTCATACGTAACTAGTCACCTAGCAACACTAAACATCATGGTATCAAACAGAGCAAAAAAATGGTAATAGTCATCAATAATACTATGAAAAGCGCGTGTTCCTTGCCTTGTAATATGAGTGAACGGCTGTCATGTCATCTGGTTCCTGGGCATCACACCTTGCCACCCTGTTAACGCCTGGTTGACTGTGTGAATAAGACTCAGAAATGCTCTCTGAATCACCCCTAAGAACCCACCCTCGGGATACATTAAGAGAATCCGAGGAGAACGCCCCCAATATTATTTCATAAGCTTGCGCATGAATTAATGTTAATAGGGGCGTGAACGAAGTGAATGACTTCCTGTTCCGCAATCCTGTCTCAAAGTTAAGGCTGTTCATGACGTGCACTCGGTTGTTCACGGTAGTAATATGAAGTGAACGCACGGCAATGAAGTGAATGCAGTGAACAAAGTGCGTGCGTTATTAATTAGTGCTTGAGTTCGCACGCTAACATCATAAACAACTTCATAACACTCGTAAGGTCTCAAGCAGAACTGGGACGATGCAACTCCTCCCTTCGCGGTATGCTTGAGCAGAGATTTCATGGAGTGTCAGGGCACTAATAATAATAACAATAACATTGTCCTGGAGTCCATCCGGTGACTCATCCGGGCTCCCTTCCACATGGTGCTGCAGCTGCCAACATCGCTTTGATGTCGACTCCTACACCTCAGGAGCCTTGGTTCCGAAAGTCCTATACCTTGCACCCGTATCCTAAACCACCTAAGCCCCTACAACTTCAACCTCGGTGCTTTCAAAAAACAGATGAAGGTTCAGCTTGTGGCGCTCTGGCAGCTGCTTCACGTCACATCTGACCGGAGGTGAAACGCTATCGGAGAATCTGCGAGCACGGGGGGGCAACACTTCGGCAGCTCCCCTAAAGCCTTTGGAAGCCAATTATTGTTGCGGCTAATGTGTGCGACCTCCCCCACATGTCGAGACTTGCTGTATTGACAGCCCTTCAGGCTGCAATGGGCTTGGCCACGCGTCCTTCGGACGGCGGCTGTGCGTCGATTTCTGGCATGGTGCCTCCCGATAGGATCCCCGAGCCGTACCCTTTTCATGATTTCAGGGACCCGCACCCATCTAAGGCCGCCGCGGCATCCGACTGAGACTGTCGTGCGTGTCACTTCTTGTCGGGCCGTGCCATAGCAGAAATCCGACGAACAGGCAGCTGTACAAACTGTAGCCTGACACATAGATTCGCGACATGCAGTTCCGAAGCGGGACGCCATTGTTCTTTTGCTGAGGAAACCGTTGAGGATAAACGAATAAAAAATCACAGCCAAGCTCGTTCCACCATACATGTCCACACCTCATGGTCCAAAACCATGACAGCTGCAACAGCAATGCCTCTGCATGC